ACTTGGTGTTGTTAGCACCACGCTCACCCAGTGAGCTAAGCAGCCATCCCTATATGGGATTCGAACCTGTGGCCTTGGTGTTATCAGAACCACACTCTCTCGAGTGAGCCACAGGCCGGCCCTGGATTGGTAGACTTTTAAAAGTGCAGTGTCAAGGTTTAAGCCCTGTTGTTTTATTCCAAGCCAAGAAAGATGATGGTGGGAGGAGGGGACTGGACCAATTTTGAGGTCCATGAACCCGGTGCCTAAAATGGATTAAGGAGTCATCTGTGATAGTGCTGGAAGTGTGAAGAGCAGCTTGCATTCCATCTTTGGCCAAATTTCTCCTGGTTAAGGGCATAACCATATATATATAATTATTGTTCAGGCCAGAAATCTGAGTCACCATTTCCTTTGGAGAGCCCACTATCCTTTGTATATTAAAGGCTCTAAGAAGTCCTGCAGTAACTAAACCAGTTTCACTTCATTTAACCCAGACTTTTCCCAAACTTATTCGAGCATGGGAACTTTATGCAACAAAGTGTCTAACAACTTCTGTGGAATAAACTTTATGAAACCTCAACCTATAGGATCAAGTAAGTACATGGAATCTCTAGTTTTTAGTTAATTTCCCTTTATGATTTCCACAGTCTCAAGCACTTAATACTGTTGGCACTTAAAGAGCCAAACACTTCAAGCTCTCCAGGATTTGCCTCCTACTTAATTCTGCAACTTTACTGTTTGCTGCTCCCCACTTCTGAAGTTCTTTTGGTTCATAAAACATGCAATGCTTTCAAGCTTGTGTCAGCTATTTCATGGAATGCACGTGTTCCTGGTCTACCTGGCAAGCCCTACTCATTCTCCAAGTCCCAATCTAAGCATAATCACATATTCTGTAAAATTTCCTTAACTCTCCCAGGCACCATAAATTGCTTCCTCCTGTGTTTGCAGTGCACTTTTTTCATTTTTTAAAAAATTTTATTTTGTCGGGCCGGCCTGTGGCTCACTCGGGAGAGTGCGGTGCTGATAACACCAAGGCCCCGGGTTCGGATCCCATATAGGGATGGCCGGTTTGCTCACTGGGTGAGCGTGGTGCTGACAACACCAAGTCAAGGGTTAAGATCCCCTTACCGGTCATCTTTAAAAAAAAAAAAAAAAAATTTATTTTGTCGATATACAATGTGGTTGATTATTGTGGTCCATTACCGAAACCTCCCTCCCTCCTCCCTCTCCCCCCTCCCACCCAACAATGTCCTTTCTGTTCGCTTGTCATGTCAACTTCAAGGAATTGTAATTGTTATGTCTTCTTCTCCCCCCCGGTTTTTTTGTGTGTGTGTGTGTGGGAATTTATTTATTTATTTTTATCTCCCACCAATAAGTGAGAACATGTGGTATTTCTCTTTCTGTGCCTGACTTGTTTCACCTAATATAATTCTCTC